CCCCCCTCCGCAGAGCAGCGTGAAATTGATAAACAGATTTCGGAATGGTTAGAGAAACAAATCACCTCTCTGTCACTCTGTTCATGCCTTTATCCATTTTTTCCAGCAATTGCACTTCTTGTTTGATGGACATCGGAATATGCTTTCGTTTTGTAGATCCTTCGGCAGCTCCAGAATCGTAAATTCTTTTTGACATAATCGAAAGTTAAAGCTTACTTTTATAAAATTGCTCTGACAGTCTGCAAAAAATAATAAGCCGCATCCAATTAGAAGATTAAGGAACAACGCAATCTGCAACATTAACTGAAATAGATAATTTTAGCTTAGCTTATACCGTCCGTTATACATTAAACGCGCATGCGTAAACGTATTATGCGCAAGCGTAAACGCATATGTGCATGCGTAAAGGTATTATGCGTTTACGCATGCGTAGAATGTTTGTAGCTTTGAGGTCCGGATTATGGACGTCCGGATTAAAGACTTTTGACTGTATAATGTTCCTGATCTTATAAAAAAACGAAATTGTGGAAAAGTTTAAAGTGTTAATTTAAAAAGTTTGAAAGTACTTGCTTTGGTGATTGTGTCCGTTTTCTGTTTTATATGAATAAAAATACAGAAAATTATCTAATCACAGAATTTTCGGCATTAATGCAAAATATCAGATGGAAATCTTGGAAAGAAACTATTTGACATTTAGATGGAAAAAATCTTACCCAATCAAGCATTTTCTTTAGCCCAAGCGCTGTTTAAAATGTCAACACACTAAAACATACTGTAAGAATTGGGTTAGGTGCATAAGATGCTCTGGAGAACTTGAAAAATATCATTGTACGCAAGAAAAACTGAGCTGTATTAGTTGTCGTGTTTCAAATGAAGCGTTTCATTCATTATGATACTAATCATGACAAAGGATGTCCAGTCTATAAGTCAAATACATTGTGGAGCACTTGGATGTGGCTATATAATTAGACTTATGTAGATAATTTGTACAATTTAGATTTATCATTGCGACTATATTTTTGTTTTTTATATTTTTCTTGTATTTCATCTTTCGGATTTTAAACTTTGTAAATATTTCTATTGCATTATTTTGTGTTTTATTCTCATGAAGTTATTAAATATCAATCTTAACAATTGTTCAGTTGCATCATGCCACCTGTCAAGTATAGAGAAGCTATTGAGCGAGACATGATGTGTTAGCTATGCAGGAACATTATCATACTGAACATAAATTTGCCTATTTGAAAAAAGGGTTGGAAAGCAGTAATGATAACTGGTCGTAGATTTGCTGTTGTGTTTCTCAATGAAAATATTAGATTTTCAGCAGATTTGATTTCAGATACAATTGCTGTGGTTTCTGTTTCCATCGAGAATGATTTTATGGGAATTGTTTCTGTATCTTTCCAGCAGAGGATTTGTATGAAAATTTAATAAGTTGGAAGATGCTATTAAATGTTATAATAATTTTCTTGCATTGGGAGATTTTAAACATTTTAACTGGGGAGCCAGGAGTATTGATAATAGAATTGTAACTTTTGATTTCGTTTTACATAATAATTTCATTCTCTATAATGACTCCAATTCCTTGCGTACTTTCGTATCTTCAGCTGGGGAAGGTTGGACGGATTTAATTTTAGGGTCCTCTGCAATGTCCTTAATGTCTGTGAAATTAATTATTGAACAAGAGGAGTCATTGAGCGATCATAAATATATTTTTCTTAATTTGAATGAAATATGTGTGGAATATGATGAAGAAATTAGATTTTCACGTAATATACAAAAAAGTTGAAAGGTATGTTAAAGGTTTAAGGAGTAAAATGAAGGATTTAAGGAAGGAACTGATAAATATTGCAGAGAAAGATGAGCTTGATGACTTCTTTGTTAAATTGGAACCTGTATTTTGTAGATAGACCCAATAAGATCCTGAGACGTAAGAGGAACGAATAAAAATGCTATTCTGTGGTAGATACTGTAACTGCAGAGATTAAAACGATGGATTCGTGCATTTAGAAAACAATATCAGATTAAAAATATTGATGAATATACTCGTATACAAAGGAAGATCGTAAATAAAAAAAGAGCTGGATGCATATAAGAAAATGATAAAGATAGTAAAATGCCAAAGTAAAAAAAAAATTCTTTGTTGAGAGTGCAAAATATTATGGAGGATTTCTTCGTGTGGTTAGTGGTAAAACACGTGTCTCAGAAATTATTATAAAGGTAATACTGATGTGAATAATTTTGAGGTTATTAAGTGTTATTTTAATAGGAATTTTCACTGAGTTGAAGATGGTTTTTTGGGTGCGGATTTGTTGTAGGATGTTGGATGCGCTTTGGATGATCTGCCATTTAGTTTTGAAGAAACTGGTAATGTGGTTAAGAAATTAAATTCTTTGCTCTCCACCCTTAGAGATTTGGGATTGCGAAAAATATTTATAGGATCTTTCTTTGTTATTTTAATGAAAGGAATGTTATTTACAGATTTAATAAGGATATTTGTATGGTTTACAAAGGATTCGGTGTTCCAAAGCAGTGCTGCACTGCTTTGGAACACCGTTATGTATGGATTGTTAAAGAGGGTCCAAATGGTGTAAGAATGTCATGTTATGCTCATAACATTTTATATGCAATTTGTGAAAAGTCTTTGGAGAAATTAGAGAAAATATTTTCATTTGCTGTAGAATGTAGATTGAAAAAGGAAACCTGAGATTAAATTTACAAAAGAACTACTAATTTCTTGTTTTAACCGAAAGGTGAAAAAAAAGACCTTAACATCACAACTAAAATATGAAGGTGTTACAATAAAATGTGTTTAAAACCTTAAAATATCTTTGTGTTTTTTTTTTTCTGATTGCAAATTTAATTTTGAACAACATTTTAATTATATTTATAAAATAACTATCTCTACTCAGATGTATTAAAAAAGAAATTTCTTAATTCAGTCACTAGCACTGAAAAGTAACATTATTAGATTAATTTACAAAACAGTTATTATTCCCATTATATGACATGGTATTGGGGCTTGGAGTTCCAGAGAGATGGACCTGCAGTGAATCAGAAATAAATTTGATACAATACAATGACCCTGACTGCTGCTTCTGACCAAATGCTTTAAAATAGTCTCCATGGAAGTCGTTTGCATACTGCCCGATATGCCACCCTCTCTCGATATTTTATTCTTTTTATTACAATAAATTTAAATCGCTTTCACAAAATGTTCATTTTATTACTTATAGAGCATTTACGGTATATTATGCATGTTTTTCCATTGTTCATTACTCTGATTCCTGTTGTTTAACTTCTCCAATAATCATTATTCAGTGTGTTATTTTAACTTTAATTATAAATGCTTCGTTATTTCATAAACAACTGTTTCATATTTTTTGTTTTATAATTTGTACACGTCATCTTACCAGATTTAAACTCATGATCTGGAATATTCCCATATACGGAATCACCAGAATCCCGACAAGTCCGGATTTCAGACTGTGTATTGTGTACTTCTCTTAAGCTTTGTATATTACACTCCTGCTCAAAAAATAAGGAGCAGAGGCAAAACACGAAATAAAACAACTGACCCAAGAGGTCGGTGTAGCATTATTATACCATGTAGCAAACAGTAAAGAGATACAAAAACACGTATTATAACCATTACATCGTGAAAGATCAGTTGGGTCTGAAGAATGTATTATGGAAGTATGATGCTTATAACGAGTATGACGGCTTCTAGCTGAAATGTGTACATGCTTGTTAACAGCGAGGCAAGTTCACAAGCTAAACGGTGGCGAAGCAATTTAATCACTTGTGGCAGTTGTGCCCATTCCTGTACTAATGCACGTCGGAGCTTGTGGAGGTTGCCTGGAAGCACCCTATGACCTGCTAACTGTCATTCCAACACATCCCACACATGCTCTATGGGATTCAGGTCTGGTGATCTAGCAGGTCATAGCGGATGTAGAATGGTTTCACCCTTGCATAATCTCTTGCAGAATTTATAAGCTGCATTGGAAACAAATATGTGTTCAGTGGTTTGAGCACTATCTGTTGCAAAATGGTTATAGTATACATTGTAGAGTTTGTGTATGGCTATCCCAGCATAATGCAATCCCTTGCTACAAAGGGTAAACTGCTAGTGTGTGGCATTATGTTGTGAGTTCTGCTAAGGCTGCTATCACACGTCGGTTTGTTTCGGAAGAACAACTGTTTGGAAAATTTTTTCTGCTTTGTAACAATAGCCAATCAAAATAGATCGCTTTTGGGGTTAACACAGAGAAAACTGGTTCCCACTACAAACAAGCTGATAGCAATCGAAGCTGATGGCTGATTGGTTGAAAACAAACAACCTGCAATTTTTTTGGAAAGGAAGGAAAAAGTTGCACGTCTTTCTTTCAATCGTAAACCAAGCAGAAAAATTGTCCGAAACAGTTGTTCGTGTGAAACAAACGCCGTGTGATATGGGCCTAACAATGTTTATTATTTAATTTATCTCTTTCCTAGTGCCTTGTTTTACTGCGAGGCAAGAATTTATGCAGATTCGAATGGCAAGCAGGTTTAGTGTAAAGGAATTTGTGTCATTGTTAGCAGTCTTCAACAGCCATCATTTGCAGCCTTTATATTGTGATTAGGCGAAATTTTAAGAACTTGTGTTTACAGCTAGGTCCAGATGACTACTAATTTTGTGTTGTATTATTTTTAGTTTAAATACACAAGTACAGAGGTAGAATAAATTTGATGTACATCTGTGTTGAATAGTTATTCTAGCAGTGAAAACTCACCCAAAGAATTAAATTGACACCTCTTTGAATTAGATAGTCCTGTACGTTTAACTGTAAAACACATTTAATGTGCACAATATAATTCATATTTCATAGGTATTATGAGAAGTTAGCATTTAAAAAGCAAAATGTGTATTAATATTTAATAAATGTTATAAAAACTTAAATTTTTAATGTAAAACGTGTATTTTTTTTAATGAGCTAAAATTTCTGTTTTATTTTCAGCCAAGTGCAAGTGAATCGAGTGTTGGTAAGTTTATTTTTCTTAAAACTATTATGTATATATATATAATTGTGGAAGTGTGAAAACAGTTTAAACCCATTTATGAAGGGTATGTTACATAATAGTATATGTATGTAGCAGAATTTTGGTAATTTGAAATATAAGTAATTTGAACTGAATGTGGTAATTTAGAATTCAAAATTGATCTTCTTGGCCAATCAAACTTTAAATTGCTTAAATTTTTTTCATCATCCTCCAGTTTTGAATATGTTATACAGTCAAAAGTCGTTAATCCAGACTCATCGCGACTTCGGCGATTCCGGATTATCGATTTTTCCGGATTATAGGTCATCAGTTTAAATCTGGTAAGATGGCATGCAGAAATTATAAAATTAAAAATATTTCAAAAAAGGTTAATTATGGTTTCGTAAAGGTCTTACGCACATGCGTCAACACGACGCATGCACAGAAAGTTTGTAGCTTTGAGGTCCGGATTATGGGTGTCCGAATTAACGACTTTTGACTGTATAAATTACAGCTGAAGTCTGAGTGTTTTGGTATTCAGTAATATGAACCGGACATGTCCTGAAATGCACATTTTCTCATTATATGGAAAATTTAATGAAGTACATACAGTGCAAAGTTTGAAATTTGGACCTCCATACCAACAGCTGGAAAATAAATAAATAAAATGATTAAGATACAATAACACACAGAACAAATATTAACTTAGAAGCCAGTGAACAAAAAATCAGAATTATATTTTCAAATTTTCAGAGGACTAGTCTCGATAGTTTTACCGAACCATCATCCTCAGCTGCAAAAGCATAAATGAATGAGGTAAGGTATAATGATTAGATAAGAAAGCCTGGACAGGAGATAAGCTACTAACGCCATCTGTTGATGAAACCAGAACTAAAACATAATTTCTTTAAAGGCTGAAATCAAAGATGGATTGGAATTAGGGTCGTTAACTAGAACAGAAAGATTTTTTTTTAAATGCGAAATGCCTCTAGGAAATCCAGTTTCCCAATGGAAGATGTGTTTTTGAATAATTTTGACAGGAGAAAAATTGAAAGTGTGATTTTTGGACTGACAATGTTGGGCAACAGAAGACTTCTGTGTTTCCATTTTTCTAACATATGCCTCATGTTCCTTAACGCGAAATTTTAAGGCTCTCAAAAACCCTTATCACATACGATATTTGTTGCCGGAACAAAACGTTTGGTGGAGCAGTTCTGAAAACGCTCTTTGGCGAAATAGGGTTACCATCTTCAGCTGGTAAACAGGCTGAAAGCCAAACAAAAATCAGTTATTGCTCAGATTGGCGAAACTTACATTTGCTTCTTCGTCTTGTTTTGTATCGCTCACACTCTTTTCGTTTTAAACTTTATTGTTAGTAATGGAAGATAATAGAAAGGTGATTGCTATCAAGTTAATCACTTTGATCTCCACTCTGGCACTTCAAGTAACAGATAAACACACTGTGTGCTGGATTAAGTCTATTTATCAGACATTACTTATGCGTATTTTCTGTTGTGTGCATTCCAATAAAAATTTGATGGCTCACTGGAAAATTTGTGACCTTGCTGAAAGCATGTTCTTGACTAACTTTATGGCTCATAATTACTGTTCTGTCCATTCAAACAAACAAACAGAAAACAACAAAAAAAAAAAAAAAAAAAAAAAAAAAAAAACTTCTATGACAAGAATCTATATGGCTGATATTTATATCCTCGCAGCCAGCTGATAGTATTCAGCAAAATGAAGATCAAATAAACATGAGCAATCAAACATGTGTGAGTTGTTTACTGTCCCATAGAACACTCGGTAATATATCTGAAACACATTAAATATACAGTCAAAAGTCGTTAATCCGGACTCGTCAGGACTTCGGCGATTCCGGATTATCAATTTTTCCGGATTATAGATCATGAGTTTAAATCTCGTAAGATGGCATGCAGAAATTCTAAAATTAAAAATATGAAACCATAATTTATGAAATAAAGAACAATTATGATCTAAAGGGTATCAAAATTTACGAAAAAAAAAGCTTAATATTATTTGTTTACTTTATTAAAACATTTCTTTCAATGTAAGTTGTTTAAGTTGCTTGTTTTATGTGATAATACTTTCTCTTTAATTCTATAAACAGACATAATTTCTTGTTCAGTTACAAAGTTCCACTGTTCAAGTCCCGTAATTGCCTGTGCCGAGAATACCGACTAACTTGTCAATCGAAATTTTTTCGTTTTCAGTAACCTCTCTGTCACCTTCTTCATGTCTTTATCCATTTTTTGCAGCAATTCCACTTTTTGTTTGATGGACATCGAAACATACTTTTGTTTTGTAGATCCTTTGGGAGCTCCAGCATCAGAAATTCTATTTGACATAATCGAAAGTTCAAGTTTACTTTTATAAAATTGCTCTTACAGTCTGCAAAAAATAATAAGCAGAATCCAGTTCGAAGATTAAGGAACAACGCAATCATCAACATTAACTGAAATAGATAATTAGATAATTTTAGCTTATACCATCCGTTATACAAAAACGTATTCTGCGCTTGCGCACACACATATGCGCAGTCGTAAAGGTCTTACGTGCACGCATAAACGCCTATGCACATGTGTCAACGCGGCGCAAGCGCAGAAAGTTTTTAGCTATGAGGTCCAGATTATGGGTGTTCGAATTAACGACTTTTGACTGTACCAACTTTAGAAATTAGCTGGTACACATCATGAGTTTGCACTATCCTCATCGTCAGGGCAGATGTTTTTATTTTACTTGGCTTATAATTTCTTCCTGAATGTAGTATTTCATCTCGATGTACTCCATCTTTGATATGATTTAAATAAAATTTCTCGTCATTATAAATATCACGAATGCACATCAAATAGTTTTCTGGTTGCAATTTTCTAATTTCAACCATGCGTAATGTATGCTTTATGCATGCGTGCATTGAAAGAAATGTTTAATAAAGTAAACAAATAAATATGAAGGGTTTTTTTTTTTTTTTTTGTAAATTTTGATACCCTTTAGACCATAATTGCTCTTTATTTCATAAATTATGGTTTCATATTTTTAATTTTATAATTTGTGCATGCCATCTTACCAGATTTAAATTGATGATTTATAATCTGGAATTGCCGAAGTCCTGACGAGTCCGGATTAAAGACTTTGTACTGTACACACATCTAATAAGTCATATATCTACATACAGATAGAGAGATGTGATGGTTTAGAAATTGTTAATATATATTTATTAGTACTAATTAAAGAATAAGATTTATATTAATGAATGTATATGTTGGAAAAATATGACTTATTGTAACCCTTTTACTGCATCATCTCTCCTCCTTGAAATGTTTATTAGGCTTAGTTCTTATTTTAATGTAATATGGTAGTTACTTCTACTTCTTTTTCTAATTGCCACTGTTTGCGTTGAGAACAGACTGTTTCAACTTAATTAAGATACAAAAACAAAACATGATGTTACGTCATCTGGAAAGCCGAATTGTGCCGATAGCTGATTGGTTGCCGTGAGATGACGTCATGCCTACTTCTGGTATATGTATCCCGCATCGCTTTCACTCAGATCAGTGCTGGCATGAGGTGTTGCTGTTGATTAAAGAAATTGTTCTTTCTGTTTACGGCGTTGCTTTATTCCTGCGATTTTGTGAAGTAAGGGAAAACGACATTGCTCTCACTACTGAAGCTGATCCTGAGTTGCTGTCGTCTCTTCTTGATGTTCACGATAAGTATGTTTTCTTTATTCTTTTCGCCATTAGGTTAAAAGTTAGGATTCATGCATATCATGGACAAGGAGGCGATCGAAAACCGTATCAAATCTGTGTGTAATCACAGAAATCTGGAAGTTACCTGCGATAACTTAGAAAAACTTAAGCAACTTATGCTTTCTGAGTTTCATGCTTATCAAAATTCATTTAATCCAAATAATGCGACTGAAGTTCACTTAGCCCACGTCAATGCTATGGAAAAGGATATACAAATCTTAGAATTATACATTAATGAAATGAAACAAAAGAAACCCTAAATAATCCAACAGAGGAAACAAATCAATCTGATATTACTGCTAGTCAAAAATCTAGAATCAAAAAGAAAACCACAATAGATAAAGAAGGATACATAACCCCTAGAAAAACTCATAAAGAACTCTATCAAATTCCGAAATTGAAGAAACCAGCTCAAAAAAATAAATTCGAGGAACTAAACCCCTGAAGACAATATGGAAGCAGAGGAAGGTGAATTTATTACACCCAACAAAAAAGCAGGACACATTCCCCCTATAGTCTTAGCAGACTTCACGGGGGATTGGGATAAGATGAAAGAAGATTTTGAAGAGCAATTAAATATCAAAAAATATCGTGGAAACCTAAGTGGAGGTACACTGACCATAAGAGTTTATGACTCAGACCACTACCGCACAGTTACTGAATACCTAACTAAACTACATATTCCTTTTCATACTTTTAAACTCAACAGTGAAAAGCCTATCAAGGCAATAATTAAAAAACTTCCAAAAACAGCTAATATGGAACTAATCAAAAAAGAAATTGCCCAAGAAGGTATCCCAATTCAAAAAATTCGACAAGTAATTCACACTATTGAAGGAAAAAGTTCATCTTCCTGTTTTTATAGCAGAATGTACTAGAAATAAAGAAGGTAAAAGAATATATGATCTAAAGAAACTCAGAGGTCTGGATGTCTTTCATCGAGCCTTTTAAAGCTCGCCCTGGACCCGTGCAGTGCCATAAGTGCCAAAGGTACGGGCACACACGGGACAAATGTCACTATAAACCTCGCTGTTTAAAATGTGCAGAGCCTCATGAAACATTCACTTGTAAACAAACAAAAAATGACAACAAACTCCCTGTCTGTGCCCTCTGTGGGCAAAATCACGTTTCTTCCTTCAAAGGTTGCAGTAAACATCCTTATAATGTTCAGAAGCAAATCGAAGAATTCTAAAGCTTTCAAAGAAGAAAAAGAAAAAGAACAATTTAAATTTA